GGTGTTCCTTCACTTTAGAATTCAAAACACTCCCATTCTTGCCTATCTACCTGAGGTTGCAGTTATAATCCAACCGGTAAGTACAGTGTAATTTGACGCTGGTGGGTTCCACTTTCTTTAATGAAAGTAGCGACAATTCCCGGGTTCTGCTGATCACCACAGCATCTGCAGCGCAGTAAGTTCTATGAGTGGAGGAGATTAAGCGCCTGGTTGCCCTCGTTGAAGCTGTTACCCTTAAATGAGAGTGAGGTGTACATTTTCCTTAGGTGCTATCAACACCGTTTCTTTCCGCGATCAGACTTGGCTATAATTCGTGATAAGGCGCTTACGGAGGCAACACGCGACAACGATTCGAATGCTCCGTGTGACAAATGCACATCAATGACACATCAGATGTCATAAAGCACTTTAACTCGGATCGTTAAAAAGCAGCAGTGTTTGCGACAGCATCTTCTACTGAAATGATTATTTCTGACCAGCAACGTTTGGAAACAGAAGCCAAGTTAACAGCCGCAGAAGGTACCTTCTCTTATTATGCCGTATTTCATAAGCACGCTTTCCACTCCCGCGGTTTATCATTCATTTGTTCGAGTCAATGAGCCTCGCGCTCTGCGCAATACGTGATTCACAGTATTCGCGAGGAGTAGATATTGCCTAGAAATGCAACTACTTAGTTCCGTGCGAATGGAATATTGCCTCATCAGTGAATATGTTGGAATGAACACTCATGGTCCCGCCTGAAACAAATTGGGCAGCGTAACCACACTTGTTTCCTGCAACGGCGATCAATACTGCGACGGGAGAATAGGCTATGTGGCAGCGAGTAGTCTTTAGGCGGCATAGCTTTTCAAGACTCCTTTCTCAAAATATCACATTTCATATTTGCAAGGCCTTATTGTAAGGAATCATCATCATCATCATCATTATACATGTCAGCTAGAGGTGGTGAAACACCTCCGCTATTGTACCGCAATACAAAGGAAATACATACATACAATACATAAAGGAAAAATAAATACGACAGTTGCATGCCAGCTAAGCTACCAGCAACGGATAGGCATTGTTCCAGTAAGCTTCCAGCCAGCTACTAGGTAGAAAGAAGAAAAATTATTATGTTTTACCCTAGGAAATGAGATGGTAGATGGAGGGGGAGGCTAAAAGGGATGGGGAGGGACAAAGAAACTCACAGCACAAACGCCACTGAGGTCGGTTCCTTGCCATGTCAGCAAGTGTATCCAACCAAACGTGTACACCGTCTTTTGGACCCAAACCAGGGAGCCGTGAAGCTCCAACCGAGGCTAGCTCCGAAGTGAGGGACTTCATTCCTCTGGACCAAGTCATCGCTTGGCCACCTCTCCTCTTCTTCCACCCACATCCCCGGTGAGCAAACAACGCACGTCGCGGGGGTCGGTGGGCTGGCATGCGCAACACGTGGCCCAGCCATCGGAGCCTGGTGCGGGAAATAATGGTGCTGAGCGGTTGATTCCCTTTTCCAGGGGCCGCAAACAAGGCGTCGTACACGCTCGAGGAACAACGACAAAGAGATTCAATGAGGACAGCGCAGCCGATTCGATCGCCACAGGAAACCAGTGCAGCACCGGAGATTTTATTGCTAAACACTAACTAGAGACCCTTGGGATGACCCAATTCGCGATCGTATGGGGTGAGCGGTGCTGTACAAGCACAAGGATGGTCAGTCTATTATTGTCGCCGGTTCGCAGAGTCATGTCTCTGGTCCATACAGCAACAACAACCGAACCGCAGAGTTGCCCACTTTATCCCTGACTGATAAGTGACCAACGCGTCGTTGTTTCTGGCCTTGGAAATCCACACCGCCGATAATGAACCAGTGAGTTGATCGACGGAGGTGATACATCCAAAACGGTGTATGAACCAAGTAACCAACTCCGGTAGCTATGGATGGAATCACGGCCGAACACTTGAGACCCTATCGATCTATATGAGCCTGCAAGATTCGATCTCCGTGTTTATCCATGCGAGACTGGAGGCACATTCTCATTGCGTCTCTGGAGATGACGCTGCTTCAAATGCCGGTCAAGCCGGCGTGGGCATTGTTTTCAGTCCCAGGCTGAAGCTGCCCTGATCGATTGGATTCCACTCAACAGCAGTATGTTCGCCGTCAGACTGGCTGGCTCGTTCCAAAGTTCAATGTCGCAGGGGTACAAACGGTGCCTGTTTGTCATTGCGGCCTACGCGCTCACAAACTGTAGTACTAATTCGGTGAAAGATGATTTCTATCACCAGCTCTTTGGGGCTGTCTGCTCAGGAAAGAGGTGCCTGATAAATATGAAACCATTATCAGGACGCTGTACGTGTATAGGTCGGGCAGATTGAGGGTTTACAGCAAACTATCGCCGCCTTTCAGTATCTCTAGCGGTGTGAGACAAGGTTGCCCGCGGTCACCTTTTCTCTTTAACCTCGCCATTGATGAAGTCATGTAAACAGTGTTTGCCGGAGACGAGCTACTTTCTGTTGAGCGATTTCTAGACTTGGAGTATGCTGACGAGGTTGTTCTAATCTGTGACAGCGCCCAAAGGTGCCAAGCATCACTGGACAGCACTGGTTATCAATTGTTTGGGGCTATGCTTTGCTCGCTCGAAATGGAAAGTCCTTCTCCAAGATTGGCAGGGACTCAATCCTGCGCTGACCCTTGGTAATGATCAGCTTGAAGTCTTTAAGGAATGCAAGTACGTGGCAGCTATATTAACGTCCGTGGGATTAAAGATGAGGTCACGAACCGCTTTTGCCAATCGCCGCCACCTGTGGTGCCGGCGCGACATCACTCTCGTCCAGAATAACAGTTTACAATGCAGCTGTCCGTTCAAGTTTCCTATACGGTTATGAAACTTGGCCCATCAGGTCAACAGACATAGAGAGGCTAGGTAGGTTCGGTCATCGCTGTCCTCGCAGCCTACCTCATGTCTGGTGGGAACAATACGTAAGCAGTGAATGTGTTCGGCGTCGTTGTATTTGGTGCAAGAAGAGCGAGTGAACCGCCCAGTACCATTATATCACACACCAGACTCTGATGACTGGGCCACGTGTTACGTAAGCCAGCACATCGACTACCGTGATATGCGTTGTTTGCGTGCCCGGTGTGTGGGTGGAAGAAGAAGAGTGGAGGCCAAGCGACTACATGGTTGAGAAGAATGAAAACCCTCATTTCCAAGTTGGCGTCGGTTGGTACACCCCGTGTCGGGCTGGGGTCTCAAGGATGATGAACACGTTTCGATGGACACACTTGCTGACAAGACGAAAAGTTGCTTTGTTCACCCCTTTTCTTTAGATTCACACTTCAGTTACTATTACATAGCAAATGCATAATATGATAGTTAACATTATATTACTTGATTTTTGGATCATTTTGCAGTGGAATTTTTAATATCTTATATTTTTGTATTGCAGCGCATTAGCTGAGGTGTGTTTCTCACTCTCAGCTAACGTGCATGGGTCATAATGATGATCGTCATTAATACCTTACATCTTGATGATAACACCGAAAAAAAATTTGGCGCAAATCTAGCCAGAAATGTTCGCATAGTAGCTGAGCCGGATTCAAAGAGCAATCTAGGCTCGTTAGTTGGTCACTCGGCAGAACCCATGGCCGGAAAAGCAAGTATTCGTGCTGTTTTCGAGCATGAATCTCGGGACAAAATATGCTCTGCGGCAGGTGAACACAGGAGAAATATTACCGGAAGACCACACATGTTCACGAGGGTCGGGATATATGGGTTTCAGAAGGGCAAGCAATTTGCTGACACTTCATAATCAGCTGAAGCAAAGGACGTTCTTCAAGTTAAATAAGCCTCAGGTGGATCTAACAATTGAATTGCGAAAACGTGAGAAAATGAGATATCAAACAAAGATGGAATACCGAGCGGTAATCACCAGCTCCGCTTCCAAGAAATCCGGTGCATCACTGTAGGATGATGCATGTAAGCAACAAGGTTGATGGATCGTTAATTGCTGGACGACATTTATTGAACCGTTTTAGAAACAGGGGCGGTGGTTGACAACTGTCCATCTGACGGCATTTCGTCACAGCTATTGAGTCACTATCAGCTTTTAGGGACGTTAAAAAGGTAAATAGGCTTGGTAATTCTAGTACGATCCAACAGCACCTGATCGTGTCAGGTTTTATCGTATACAGAATGTAATAGGTCAAATGCGAAGTTGATTCAAGCGATACAAGAAACGGTGAGGACATAGTGAGCTTTCACAGGCGATTTTCAAAGGGTTCCGCTGAAAATTCAAACCAGTGAGCCTGAAAATATGTCACTTGTCCTCCTTTTAGTCTCCCTAGGTGCCTAAAGCAAAATAATAGAAGCTGCAAAAATCGACTCGAGAACTAGGCACTAAGCAACATAGGCAAAACGGGCTTTAGTGCATTAATCTGACCGAAGTGGCTACGTGCATCCGTCTAACTGGCTCATTGTAAGCTAGTGTGAGATGCGCACACAGTGTGCTTGATGGTTCATAGTTTTTCGCAAGCCAAATATGAAACGTTGGATAATACCGCTGTGTATACAGACATCGGATGGTTTCACGGAGTCTCAGATGACAGGCGTACAAGGAAGTAGGTTGGCACGAGTGAAGATCGGTGACAATAGGTAATAGAGGATGCATATAAGAATAGGATGATGAAAACGAGATAAGGTGGACCGATTTGGTTGTCAGGGTCGATGGGAAAGGTGAGGCAGCAGCATAGAAGGAGCGAGTAGCCCACTAACAAGCCCAAAAGAAGCCAAAAATAAAGTCAAAAAATTATAAAGTGAGGTCCCAGTCGTAGTAATCCTGATTACTTTAAACAGTTTGGATGGATCATACGACGCAGGTCGAGACACGTAAGTTTAACTGGGAACGGATAATCGTGGGTAGCAAGGAACAGGTAGGGCAAAAGCAGCATGCATCATAGACACCGGCTCTATTGTTGATATGATAAATAACAGAGAACACAAGAAGCTAAATAAGTGTCGTACCTGAAAAATTACGTCCGCAGTGCTGACAAGGGCGGTCCGAATGGTACTCAATGCGGTGGGAATCAACCACGTGGAACAGCAATGCGTCCGGAGAATCGAATGCGCTCAAACACGATTCGAAGACGCATGCATAAACCTGAGCAAAATAAAACAGTTAAATGCTAGAACGTTTGCCACAAAATGAAAAACATGTTTAAATATGATAACGTTCAGTTGATTAGTCCAAGTGCTATGACTATAATAGGCTATCCTGACTGGCGGATAAGTATGCGGTTTGGAACACAAAACGTCAAGTACAGAGTAACTGTAATCGGCATGTGAACAGTTATTCATGAAACAGTCACATTAACCAGTCTCATAGACTGGACAGTAGAAAAAGTGAGAAGATTCGAAAAGCATACTTCTACTTGCCATGTTAGGTAAGGTTGGCGCGATCAAAACATCAGACAACTAATGCTGATCCGATTATGGAGGAATCTGCAGAATCGCACGTTGGACTCAGAAACACTAGAAAACACAAATGGTCACTATGCCGAGGTGATGGCGAAAGGCAAGACTAAAATCCGACGCACGGTGAAATGAGTTCCCGTGGGCTACGTTGCCAAGCCAAGAGGAAAGCATAAATTGGAAGGAGGGAGAAATATCACTGCAAATCGATTATATGTAAGAATTACCTGAAAGAACTTTTTGTTTTATAATACCATTATAGTGCTTAACACGTGCCAAATCACCTGCTTCTGGCTATAAACATTTCAACTAAAGAAATTCTCTTGTTTCCTTTAGTCTAAATGTCTTTCGTGCTTGCTCTCCGATCGTATTTATGTCTATTATCACCGGATCCCAGCTGAAGTAGTTCGTGCGCCTCGAGTCACAGGATATCATGGTATTCGATCAGACTCAGCGAGCATATGTGGCGAGCTATGACAGAAACACACTGTAGATCAGTTGGAAGAATAAGCAAGTGCATACGAAATATGCCGCAGGGACAAGTTTTACACCACTTCTAAGTGAAAATCAACAGCGTATGAGGAGAAAACTGGGGACACCCTAAGAGTGACATGGATCAAACGCCCTCTGTGAAGCAGAGGGGAGTGTGACAAGCAAACAAATGCGATAGTCGAGTGGCAAGTTGGCGCATAAACGCCATCAGAGTAATTGTACAGCAGGGTTTCGCAGTTGTCACTGTGAGGCGACAGTGTAGTCTTCTGCAGTGGTATCACACGGAATGCGGCAAGCCAGTAGGCTCAGATGAGCATACGGTCAGTCACGAAGTAACAATTTGTGAAGGGCTGATGAAATGTGCACTGATGGTGAGTTCCAAAAAGACGAACTGCTCATTCAACGCTTTTAAGACGTCGACTCCACGTGGGGGAATTCAACTTGTACGCATCTGTGTTGAATGTGAAGCGAACCCGGAAGAACACGGTCCCATAGTTGAAACTACCTGGTCATGTCTGATAACTAAGGCATGTCATATAGCTCAAACTTCACTAATGGCAACCGCCCTTTCAGAAAGAATAGCGTCTATCTAGCAACAAGAGAAAGCTAACTCATCACACCCATGTGGACAACGGGATAGAGGAAGGATGACATTATCGTTGGTTCTCAAAGCACCTGCTGCTTTAGATTGAGATGTACAGATTGAGCCTGCATAGAGGATTAATATAAAGCAAGGATTAACAATTCCGATCGCAGCGACCGCAAGCAAAGTGGTAGCATATTCTTCGATTTATGCAATAGCTAAGTTTAAGTCAGTGGTTTCCAATGCACGATAGCAAAGGATAGCCAAAAGGAAATCAGATCCACTCAGAAGAAATCGCTGCAGTGAAAAAGTTAAGGCACAAATTTGAGTGAAATCAAAGTCCAAAAATATGTCTTTGGACAAGTGGCATTCGATACTTAGGTCAGAGAAATGTAAAACAATTCAGTCCCAATATGGCTAAAATAGATATAAGCGGGGCTCAGTAGTTGTAGATCCACCGCCGCTCGTTAACAAAATAATTGCGTGTGCTCATGAGGGTCATCCGGGTATTGTCCGGAGCCAGAATAAAGTTCGACATTACTCCTGGTGGCCAGGAATGGCACCAAGTATTGAAATATTTGTGAGAAACTATCAGGCTTGCCGGTTAGCGGATAAAAGTTAACTACATGTTGAGACCCCCGTACGCCGATACCGTACCCGATGAGGCCGTGGGTCAAAATTGCCACTGACATTATGGGACCCTTCGGCACTGCAGCAGTAAATAAAAAAACCAATTTGTTGCAACGTGTCTCTACAGCAGATGGCCTCAGGTTCATATATGTGAAAAAGTGACCACTTCTGTAGTGCTGCGATAACTCAAACATCTGTTCAGTCGTTTCGGATTAACAGAGGAAGTGGTCACAGATAATGGCCTAAAATTCTGTAGTTAGGATTTCGAAAACTTTCTCCAACGTTATAATACAAAACATACCCAGACTGTAACCTACAGTCCTTCAGCTAATGGCATAGTGGAGCGACTTAATCGGTCTCTCAAGGAAGTCACAAAATCCATCCAATTAGGAAGGGTAGAGTGGGAAGATGTCTCAGCGGCGCTGCTGTCATACAGAACCTGTGAACACAGAGCCACAGGGAAAACACCGGCGGAATTAATGCTAGAAAGGCGCCTACACACAAAACAATACTGCACACAATATACCCTTTTCTATTGAAGTTCCGAACCGCGCAGCAACTTACCGACACTCTACGCCAGATCCTCGATTCCACTGCAGTCGGGGTTCTTTATTCGGATTAAAAGTGGAAGTACTTTGAAGGGCCACCCGGCTCCGTCTCCACTGCTTACAGTCACACATGCCTGTGGGCCTGGCACATAGCGAATGGAAAATGTTAATGCCCGTCGGCTTCGCCGTGCAACTGGACCGGCCTCCAAGCCCAGCCAAGAAACGGAGCTCCACCGTCGTGTAAACTACGCGAGTCCAGATGAACGTCAAAGGCAGTGGATCGATACTAATCCTGACTGGTTGAACTTCGCTCAATGCTGACCAAAGGCAGCATACAGATTGGTTGCACTTCGTTCAACGCTGATTGATCGATTGGTTGATTGTTAAGATGAGTTCCGTCTCGTTCTGAGCGGTCGTATGTGCTACGTTTAATGCTTGCAATATATGCATGCCAGATCTATGTTGTTCTGTCACAACAGAAGCTATGTCTGAATAAGAGATGCGATAGAACAGTCAATCCGCCAGAAACGTTGAGCGTCGGCCACCGGGGTGCTGCGACTCGCTGAATCGAGAACTGGCTTACACTAGTCTAACCAAACTCGAGTAGTTCGTTGTCATAAATGGATCGACAAAAATGGTATAAGTTAAACGGAATTAATAAGTAGATTTTGCCAAGCAGTCAGTAGACAACGATTTCTTTATTTCGGTATTCATCAGTTGCAGCAGTGGTGAGATGAAACTGCGGGTCACTACTTCTATGAAGCAGCAGTTGAAGTCTACTGGCTACTATGGGGGATAAAAGCATACACAAGCGGGTGATTGGACTGGATATATTGCAGACCATTTGCGACCCCTTTAGCATAAGTGTCGAGAGGGTACTACTTGATATGAATTTTCGGTGAGATGCGGTAGCGTTTAATTCCAACGTGTGAGTCACCTTGCAGAGGAAAATAAATGCGGAAAAATTTACCCGACTGTCCTTGTGATAAACCATATGCTGCCGAAGCTGAAGATAATTGCTCAACTGTTGGTTGCAATATCGGCAACACCATGATCTGGAACGACCGTAAGTTCGTCTAGAAAGCGCCAAAAGATCACCAGAAACAACCTGCTGAGTTGGACAGAGAGAAACCAGGTAGGAAAGATGCATGAGAATGTATTCGATGTAGACAAACAAAAATGAACAAAAATTTACGATCCCTAAAGAAATTACCTGTGCAGGTCCTGCAGGAAGTCGGGATTTGGAAGGAATCGGAGGCCACGTCTTATGTGAAGACAAATGCCGGCGCAAGTTAGAAGCTTGGTTAAAATTCCGACCACAAAGGCAGCACTCATGCGGACGCTCACCAGTATGAATGCGAATATGAGTGTCCAAATGGCTCGGTCGACTGAATAAGCGGGAACAATGGGGACACGAAAGAGGAGCAACGTTGGGTGTAGATCGCCGCATATTTGTTGAAGCATAAGCGCAAGAAGGTAGGTTGAAGCAACCGGTTTCCGAGAAATGACATGCCGCAGAAATCGAGCTGGGTTGTGTAATTTCATGCTGACTATATAAGGTTTCATTCTGAAAAGTAAAGTGCAACGAAGAAAGGAGAGGAAAAAGAAAGTTACTATCATCAGATAAAAAGAAGTTTCCAGTGAGAAAATAACAGATCGGATAAAACAGCGTCAAGAGCTTTTTCACTGTATCGGAACAGGTAAGATTTCCCAAGATTGACGCAGTCGAAACGGAGACCAAGGCAGAAGGATATAGAAAGCGATAAAACGTAGGTGGAGCGAACAGAAAAATTCCTTTCGCTCTAATATGTTCGGTTGTCAGATCGCTAAAGAACTTCAAGCAGAATGTACAAACAGGAAGTAATATGCAGCAAACGCACTTCGTAGGTAAGAGAAAACGGGGTACAATAAGTATGGATGGTGTAAGCTTAACAGGTGACATGAGGAGGCATGAAAGAGGATCGTGACAAAAGTGAAAATCAATTCTGGTGCACCGTATGGATTCACTGAGACAAATTACATCATTAAAGAAGTACATAAGAAAGTATAGACACTTTTGCTGCCAGACGGTCAAAGTGCGCGGTAATTCGGTTACCAAAGAGTAAAGCGATAATTGTAGATCGTGTGTAATGGTCAAACTCATTTGTTAAACATTTAGGGTCGAGAATCCTACATCTCACCAACCCCGTATGATCACAGACACATAGAAATGGTGCAAGGATGAAGCGGAACCAGTAAGACAATTTTCATTGCCCACGGTTATAACCAAACTTGCTCCACAAGTGTTACTCGCCGGATCGAGTTTGCTCGCTGAGTTGTTAGGCCAGTCCACTCTGTGTATTACGCTGTGTCCAGCCGTGTTTCCATGTTCTTTGCCAAAATCAGTCTCTCCGATTCTGGGTTTGGTTATCGTGTGGTTTTGGAGTTGTCTCTTTATCGAGCGATCGATCACTATTTTCATATTGTACCTTCTAAACTAATGGTAACAATGAAGCAGACTCACTGTGATAGTCGTCGTAAAACTGTCCGACAAGCGGAAATAATGACACCAATACGAGCTCCTAAGCGAACAAGGATAAACGACTAACTGACCAGACACTGCTGTTGACAATCCGCAAATAAATGTTGTTGATTTCTCATAATGCGATAGAGTTGTACAGAAACATTTCTACTTGCTCTTAAATACAGTCTCAGTCTAATAGACCAAATATTGTTACTTGCTTTGTGTGTCATGCGAACTTTCACAGGCCTATCAATTAACCAATTTAAACTGTTTGGTGGGATTCGGCACGATTTTATCCAAATATTTTGTAAGAAACGCCAGTGTCAAATGCGACCAGAAAAAGTTGAGAAAAATCGTCAGCTAGCAAGAAGAATGAAAGGTTCCATAGAGAGGTGCTTCACGTGCTTATTTCGACAGGCGGACATTCAGCCATTCCAATGTACGGATGATCCCTCTTGTCCACCGGCTGCAACCTATTCGAAATGATGTCCAACCGTTACTGGAAACTCAGCTGGTGTGCTTAGGTTGCATCCTACGTACACTGAAATCCCTGTGTGCGATAGCGTCAATGGAATGTCGTATTGCTCTCCGGGAAGCAAGAAGACTGGGCCGCGATCACGAAATCGTTTATTAAGATTACGCTCGAATATTTATAGAGTATACACACTATTTACAACAATCCGTTTCAATGGCTCATCCCTGTTATTTGCATTGTGTCGCTACTCCTTTGCCATTGGTTTATGCTTGCTCGTCACGTTCACTCTGTCTAAAATCACCTTGACTTTCTTAGTGGATGTACGATTGGCGAGATTGGGCACGTGCACTTCTTCCCTCGGTCCAATGTCATAAGCCTTGGCTCAAGGGTGTACGAGTATGCGCTCCTTCGCCTGCTGGCTCCTGCGTTGTCACCTGCACGTTCAGTGGATGGTTGCAGGCTGGACGCGATCACGGGCCAACTATTTCTTGATTGGCTGACCAAGCTGCTTCCGGCAACATGCCCACTCCCTATCGGTCTGGCATGTGACGTTCGATCGGCATTACAGCATTTCCAATCATCAGCATTTCCAGCCCTTATCACAGAAAGTGCAAAGGAAGAGAGAACACATGCGGGCGAACAGAGGAGTTGCAATCTGCTGATCTTTCATGCACCTAAGTCAACTGATGCTAAACCTTATGCCGGCTATAACTACGACGTTGAGTTTTCGCAAAGCTGGATCAATAGACACTTTGATGTGAGTGAACAGGGGTTCAGAGTAAAGCATGTCAATCGTTTTAGAAAGAGAAGTGATGATAAAACTCAGCTTTTGGGAGTCACTTATGCTAATGAAGTTAGTCCGAAGTTAATACAATCCGGCCTCGGTAAGGTAAGGAGGTAGAACATCCGTATTCGCCCAGATTTGGATTCTGCAGACCGGGAAAGGCTCCAGTCCGTTATCATTGAGCTAAAGCGGTATACTGATGGTGGGGAAACCAATGCCCGCATTGGTCGGTGATGTTTCATGCTCGCCTGGCAGTTTCCAATGAGACCTGTGCGTTGCCTTCACCAAGATTTGCAATATAATGCAGAAAGGTGACGAGTTGTGCCATTTCGTTGTCCCTCTGCGGCTGGACGTTCTAGGAATGGTTGGTACCTATTGAATCCTGAGGTAAGTGCTCCGAAAATTCACCTCAGTGACTACCTGTGTTTCGGTTGTGACAGACTAGTGAATGACCGTGCTGCTATACATTCGGTCTTCTTTGTGAGGGAAACTAGTATGCACCTATAAAAGCGAACATAGTCGATGTGAGCAAGTGTGGTGTTCAATTCAATTGAGCTGTGGTGAAACGTTCGTGAGTGTGGCCTATGACAGTCCGCAAAGTAGCTGCTTAGACTGATTGTCACGTGTCCGAAACCACACGAGTAGTCCACGCCTCTTGCACATGGTTTTTTAAGTACTAAATTGTATGAAAACGGCTGACAAGAATAAGCGAAATAGCTGAATCCAGAATATCCTGTTGAAATGTTCTTACTTGCCATTGTGTAGTTAACTTGAGTACTGTGGTGTGAGGTTCATCTCCCATCGGGTATTGTAAAGTCGAGGCAGTTTACTGAGATGAGATCTGAAACCGAGGCAGCGAAATTTTTCGACCGACGCGCATAACACCGTACTCAGATCCGTCGTGCGTGGACCTGACGCTGAGTAACTGCATACGGCGTGCATATGATGTTCAGGTCCTAGATCCACTGGTAACTAGTGACCACTTAATGATTAGAGCCAGCCTAGAGAAACCCCTGTTTCACTCGCGTCTACGGAAGCCATTCTAAAACTACTGGAAAACTGACTTCGATGGGCTCACACGGACTAAAGGATTACAGAGGCAAATAATCTGAAGGCGATAGGAATCAGACTGATTCCTCTATGGTTGCCGCATTTCGAACGCGAGCCTCCTTTGAAGAGGGGAACAATAACAGAGCGGGTCCAGTCAGTAGGGTCTGTTTCCTGCTCCTACAGTTTCACTAGTAATTCGTGCGAATCATGAACCAGACCAGTACCACCGAATTTGAAGAGGGCTGGATGAAGATCATCTGTTCCCGTGGCTTTGTGCAACTTCAGCAGTCCGATCTCACGTAGTACTTCTGAGCGAGAGCGGATTTAGTGGCAGCCCAGGGAGTTTGGCGATCAATGGCCCGCGATGAATCGAGCAATTCCGGCCGATTAAATTGCATTTCAAAATGCTCAACCCAACGCTCTAAACGTTTTAACAAATTATGGATAGGCTGTACACTCTCATCACGTATAGTTTTACTAACACCAGGTCTCCTACTGTCCGTTTCTCGTATCAGACAGACGGAATAACTTTCGATGGTTACCAAGGGCAGCGGCCATTTCTATCTCTGACGCACGGAGAGACCACCAGGATTCGCGGTCTATCTGCAGGCTAGCACGGAGTTTTGCCCGGATCACTTTGCGAGTTTCATTGTGCTCGCTTCCAGCCGGAATATGCCGACGAGCATTGATAAGTTCCGGAGACCGAGAAGAGACCCAATGTCCGTGTTGGCGATTAGACTTAGCACATGAAAATTTGCCTGCAGCTAGCAAGGTCTGGTGAACATGCGACCAATGACCATTAAGTGTCTCCACTGAGAGTTTACTCAACCAGCATGTCACCGTATTTCGATACGCATTCAGAACAGCTGGGTTCTTCAGTTGACTGGTGTCAATGCGCTCACATCGTCTTCGTGGGCGTCCGCCAAAACGCATCCACAGGTCAGCACATACAAGTGCATGGTCGGTGTCCACACATGTGCTCCAAATCGAGCGACACTTCTGGACGCAGCCTCTCCATCGGTAACTTATCGCAATATGATCGATTTGCCTCCATAGCTGGTTCGAGGCTGGTGGGCGTCAAGTCACCCTCCGGCGGGTGCTGTGTCTGAAATTAGTGCTCGCAAGAAATAAGCGAGCATTTCCACACAAATGAAGTAACCGCTTATCGTTATCATCACGGAAGCCTACACCGTGTTAGCTGCCCAGATGCAGTTCATCAGGGGATAATTTTCCAACTTGAGAGTTCAGATCCCCAGTCAGCACAACAGTGTCCAAGCTTCTTCTGTGCCGAAGAAGCTCGGTCAGTTAGCAGTAGAAGTTGTTTCTTATCGAATCATCGTCAGAGTTTGTGGGCGCGTAGGCAGCGATGACGAATAGACACCTGTTAGTCCCACGCAACTTCGAAGGTTCGAACGAGCCAGCCAATCGGACCGCATACATCCGGCTACTGATCGGGATCCAAGCAACTAGAGCAGCTTTTGCCCAGGGACTCAGGGCAATGTCAACAATAGCTTGGTCGATGCTCGAAGCTGCATCGTCACCAAATAGGCGCTATGAGAAAGTGCTGCTGGTGTCACCTGAAGGGGATCGTAGAGTGAGGACATAGCTCGAGTCTTGCAGGCAAGTCTCCGGTAAGCAGCACATATCGATGGAGAGGGTCTCTAATGTTCGGGCAAGTGCTGACTGTTGACCGATCTGTAACAATGTGCGTACATTGAGGCATGCCACTCTGAAGGATGATCGAGGACTCCAAATGGAAGTCGATGAATTGGGCTTGGCGGCTTGATTGGACATGGGTTTGTCGAGAGGACAGGAATGACGCTCCGCGTATGCATGTGAGTTGGAACTAGAAGGTAAAAGCCTATCAAAGCAAGGTGAGTGAGAGCCAAGAATTGGGGGGTTGGAAACAGGGGGATAAAAGTGAAGCTGGAACGAGACGGTAAGAGAGAAAGGGCGTAAGAGGGGGAATAAGAAGATGGGTAGGCTTGAGCCGTCGCATCCAAACCCCTATCCACCCTGCTCGATCCGGCAGATAAGGCACCGCTTATTATTCTCTGCGACGGTCAGATCATCGAGAAACGGTTTGAAGAGAAATTCATTGTATTGCGTGGGCAGGATACTTTCAGGTTGCCCAGGCCTAGACAGGAGCACGAATAGGTTTCCCAACCAAAGCCTTATGTTCAAAAACCTGACCGCAAGGCAGCGGGTTTGGCGTTGGGCTACAAGGAGTCCGTTTTAAGGAATAAGGAGCCACCTCATTCCAACCCCCAACCTGGAAGACCAAGAGGCTGAGTTTATCTGGCCTCTAACCGTTGACCAATCTGGTATATATAAACCTGAAGGTGTAAAAAAGCACAACCAGCATAGCTCAATGGATCTCTGAGGCACGCAAACCATTACACATCATCAGTGGCTTGTCATAAATGAGAGGCAAGCATCATCCAGCACCGATCAATGGACCGATGAGGAACACAAATCTTCACGCCACGATATGCTCAGTTTCATCGCAATTGCCAGATTTGTGCCAAAAAGTAAACATAGATCAAAGTAAGTGAACCGACGGGATAACTGATCAGTCATTGTTGGCGATTCTCCGACGTATAGCATTTTCCCAAAGTAGTATGTGCCGTTAAGAAATCAGCTGGTTCGAGTAATAACAGGACCAGAACAAAATAAGAAAAAATAAGGAATATAATCTATGTCCGTAAGACTAGCATGTCACCAATGAGTTCAGCTCCTTGGCGTGCTAATGCCCATCAGGAAGCAAGAAACCTTCCATCCTCCTGTAACTGGATTGCATGAAGCTAATGGAATAAAATAATTGGAATCCGAAAGCTAATTTAAATAAAAATGGGGCAGTTTCTGACAAGAGGTGCATAAAAGATACTTAAAAACTATATAAGATATTTAAAGGGTTCTGATGTAATTAAAAGACGAATAGTAGGCTCGGGGATGGAATCCAACAGAAACACTTCGCTTAATTGACCAGTAATGTAGGATAAGAAAAACAACGTTGCAGCTTACCAGTGGGTTATTGGGCACCGGGCAGGAGTGAATCACATCCAACCTGTACTGCTGGGTAGCAGGCACATGGTTTGTACTCGCGGTGGAAATGGGCGGCCAATAAACACTACTGGATGCATCGTAGACACGAATCGTACTGCTAGAGGAATAGGGATAAGCGTCATAAGAGTCATGGGCAGTCGGACGACAAACAGTGACTGGGTCCAGGTCCGACGGATAGATTAGAGACGCATGAGGCATGCTAGCTGTATGGGACGATGAGATAGGGTAGCACTCCACATCGTGATCCTTGTAAAATGCAGTGGAGGAATGTGGTGCAAGTGTTGCATAACCACTGTAGTCATTGAAAAGCGGCTGGGTGGCGCATACGGGAACGAATTGCGAATCGATAGCGAAATCCGAGTAATAAGTTCCATAATGGTCTCCGTCTGCGGCATGTGACGGGTCGTAATAGGCCTGTTGAGGAGGTTCTTGTTGGGCGTGATAGACAGTCGAATCATACATACTTGGCTGATGATTGTTTCCATGAACTGCTAAGCCACTAGAAAATGATAGGTAGGCTTTATACTTCATTTCATCAGCGAGATTGAAACTACCAGTAACGTCGCTGGTGCAACCTTCAGTCGAACAAGAGAAGAAACCGGTGTGAGTTACATCCCGACCATGGGGGCTAGAGGGAAGTTCCGAGTTGAAAGCAGTCTGTGCGCAGCAAGTTTTATCTATGAAAGTAGTGTCGAAGGAGCTAGATTCCTGTAACTGATTATCGGGTAGACAGGAATGACTAAGGAAGTATTCACTATGAGCGTCATTTGCAGCGATAGAAAATTCTGTTGGAGCGGAGTGTAGTGGTATAAGCTCAGAAGAGATATTTTTGGCGGTATGTGGATCACGTTGATGGTACGTTTGGTTATTTGGGTCCTCCGCCCTAGGATCAGCATTTGATTCCAAATCGACAAATGAGAACCCATCCTCAGGTTCAAGAACAAAAGAAACCGGAGGGCAAAAGCTTGGTGTAGATAGGCTGTGTCCAACTGCGCTGCTCCGGAGTAGCATAAACGAGGCAGCCTCAGATTCATCTATTAGGGTCATTGGAAGATGCGAGCTAACGTTTCCAAACAAATAATCACCTGATGGGAGGTATGATTCAGATAGAGTGAGAGGCTCGTCTGAGAGGTAGCTGACACGAGAATCCTCGCTGTTTATGAGGTTCGCACTTGGTGACTCAGTAGGTGCTGAGTATTCAGAACAAAAGTCGCTAGTATGAGAGTACTGGATAGCGCCGATTGAGTGTGTTTCAGTGCGCAAGTCATGAGGCGATGAAGTGCTTCGGGCGGAATCTGTGTAAACAGCGGATAAATTTGAAATCACATAACCAGAGGTCTCTGAAATTGCTGCCTGGTCGGTTCGTAAAAGTGAAGACATTCGAATCGGGTCAGCCGTTGGAAGACCTTCACTTAGAGAATGGCATGTTTGATCGAAACATGGGTATTGACAAAAACGCGGGTAAAAATGTTATTGTTACGAGGTAAAAGCTCTGGTCAAGACTTCATGCGCGATGAAGGCCTGTTTGTGTTTTTGTTCGGTACACGAAATGAATCAGCTGAAAAAGGTCGTGAGAGTAGGACAAGATGGTATTGAAACTAATCTACGCTGGACATTCAATTCAAAGCAAATGCAACAAAAATTGAATAAAGACAAAATACAAGGTGCTAGTGGGCCAAACAATGTAGCTTGATGTGGTTCTGTGGTGCTAATATTTTAAATTCAAATCCCGATTGCCAGATTGGACCAGTGAGATGAATATCGAAGAGTGAAAGGGTGCTTTAGAAAGCTTTAAGCAGAATGGTGGATATATACTCAATAAGGTTGGGAGACGACAGTTGCTACGAATGGAGCACGAAGGTGATTGAACCTTGGTACAAAGTTAGAGTAAGAAGAAAACACCAGAACACAAATCCTTTATAACGCCCAAACGAATAAGTTCACCAATGCGACCCGTGCACCGACGTGAGCTTGAACTTAGCATTACTCAGCTCTGCATTTGCACAGACAAACGCAAACTAAAGACAATAAAACAGCAGCAAAATATACCGAAAATCACATAAGCAAAAGTACAAACTGAAGCAATTCCATGATAGACGACGTAGATTAAGAAATAACAAAAGGTGACAACAAAGATAACGCGTAAGAAACTCTGTACGGAGTACTGTAGCAAGGAGAGCACCAGCGCATCCGGTGGTAGATTGGTTGATAAGAATGTGGACAAACTAGAATGGTTTGAGCTAGAGAAAACATGATAACCAGATTAAGGTAGGTAGCTACAGTAGCCGAACTAAATAACCATCAAAAATATAGGCAGATAGGTGTGGTTGCAATGGCTCCCTAAATTCCGAAAAAACAGTGATACTGACAAGTGACTGTGCGGACAAGCAGAAACTGGTAGCGAATCGTTTTGACAAGAATTTCGGTTCAGTTGCACAAGTATGATCCGAGCACCGAATTGTGGTTGATCTAGTTTCCACGACTCACATCGCAAGAATAACAATAAATAACAACGTGGAGATAGTGGGGTTGAATAAGACTAGAATGTAAAGAGAATGGAAGCAAGGAGGTGAGTTAGACCAGAATGGGACGAAAATTAATAAGCAGAGGCAAGAAGCCGAATGCAGGAACACCACTGACTGCGTGACTGCGCCATGTCTGTTACGGTCTCCAACTATTGGTGTGGACCATCCTGAGATCCCCATCCACAAAGACGGTATGCATCAGCCTGACCCAGTCCCTCAGTCAATTTCTTCATGTCTCTATGCCACTTCATGGACTGGCCACGTTGCGGTTTCGCCCGGCTTGGTGCAGCCACGACGTACAGTGGACGCCGGTCAAAGGGCATACGGAGGACGTGGTCTAGCCAACGTAAGTGATTAAGATGCAGTAAACACTCCAGTGAGGCACCAGAAAACTTCTTGACAAAAACTAGCTAGCGGACCTCAGCATAACTCATCCCGTGTTCCCACCAGACATAAGCAGCACTCCGTAAGCACTGGTGGTCAAACACAGCCAAGTGCTTAATGCCTTCGCCGAGAACTGGCCAGATCTCTGATCCATACAGTAAGACCGATCTAACCGTGGCGTTAGACACCCTACCTTTCACTGGCAAGTTGATATCCCACAGTCTCCATATATTGTTGAGTCTCTGGAACGCCACACGTGCCTTGCTGATACGGGAGGTAACTTTCTCAGTGATGTGACCACCAGAGGTGACACAGCTACCAAGGTAAGTGAAACGATCCATCATTCCCATTGATAGCAAGAACCGGAGGTGTATCGGTCCAGTCCTGTAACAGTACCTTGGAAGTTGAAGGTGTAAAGCACACGCCGAGGAGTACAGCGCTACTCGTCAGTCTATCCAGTAATGTTTGAGTAGCCACTACGTCAGTCCCAAGAAGAGCTAGGTCGCACGCATACTCCAAGTTTGTCAGTCAGCCACCTAGCAGAAGTTCCACTCCGGTAGAGCTTGAAAGAACCGATTCATTAGTGATCACTTCGACCATAAAACAGAGGAAGAAAGGAGATATAGGACAACCCTGGCGAATCCCACTTCGAGTGGAAAACTCAGGAGACAGTTTCCCGTGGATATTTACACGGTCTAGGGGGGTGACGGTAGAGTGACTGCATAGTAGAAAGGAATTTAGCCGAATAGGCAGTGCCACAACCTGGCGCGGTCAGCAGAATCGAAAGTGGCTTCAAGTCAAGGAAAAGCACCATAACCGGTTGCATTTGTAGCTGCTTTAAAACTTGGTGAAGAGTAAGTATGTGGTCTACATAACCAAGATCAGAGTAGAGGCCAGCCTGGCTTCCTGTAATTCGGTGCTCAAGGGGGACCAATAAGCCGTCGGAGAATGATAACCGTGAGACTTGGAGGCACTGGAAACAAGACTAGTGCCTGGATGATTTTCACACAAAGTACGTTGACTCTCCCTTGAAGATGGGCACGACAGCTGACAGTCGCCAGTCTGAAGGCACCTCTTCAATTGTTGGGAGGGCTGCCTCCGAACTGCCTCTAAACTATATTTTCCTCCATTTCAGCTCATCACTGATCCTATCCTGGACTGTGACACTCTTTTCTTTCCACGGTACTATCATCAATCGCTCCGGACTTTCCCACCGGAAATACATCTTCCATCAGTGCTTGTTTGTCTTCTCGCCTTCCATGTGGTTTAACTGGTTAACACTGAAAAGGTAACACTTGCAACGAAGTTCTGAAATTGATCCAATTGTCATTTTCAACTGGGGGTTGAAAGCAATCCGCTAGCATCATCAAACGTAGTTCGAGCAATTTCAATTGTGACTCACTCAAACCCTTGTTCAATCCCTCACTAAGCAACAGTTCCATCAACACGTAATACCTTGGTATTCTCAAACGACGCCATTGCAGCTTCTATCTCAGAGCTTCAATAAGAGCCGACATACGGTCTCACTATTGATTATTGGTACAAGCCCTGGAAGGATACATTTGAGAATGAGTTTACGGATAAAGATGACTCGTGGAAATCCCGACTCTTAATCAAGAAACCCGGAACCTTTGAGCACGATCGTTTCATTAACTTCATTCTTCCAAATAAACCAAATATCTTGATTTTGTGCGCACAATAGAACGACTGCATGAGATTTTCATCGATCAGCTTTCGATTTTCGACGTCCGGTACAACTGCCTTAAGTTGGCGAAGCGTGATGCAGACGCTTACATCAGTTATGGTGGCATCGTAAACCGTGAGTACGAAACATTTCAATTGCAGACACTCACCTAAGAGCAGTTCAAATGTTTGATTTTGTTTCTGGTCTTCATTCTTATCAAGAGTTGGACGTCCACACTCGATTGTTTTCCAAACTTGAACACCAATCGGAAACCACAGTAAAATCTCTCACCACTGAATGTCATCTGTTCAGTCTTAAGCACGATACCGTCGTGGTGCAAGAATCACAAGCACCAGTTTCAAGCAGCATCTACGCATTGACACAAACAACTGCCCGGCCCAGCAAAAAGCCACCAACTCCCTGTTGCTCATGTCGTGAATGGCACTAAGCCAGCTTTTGTGCTTTCAAGAAACATCAGTGCCCGCAATGTCAACGGTGGGGCCACAACGAAGGCTTCTGTCGTTCCATAAATGCCAAGAAAACAACCATGCAAAAGAGCGTCCACAGTTCAGCCATAGAAATGTCCAAAAGGCAACCATACAGAAAACGTCCCCAGTCTAATTCTGTATTCACAACTTTTAAAGTGGATTTCGAATTCAGAAGAAAGTATCTATGTTTCCGGCAATAATATCCCAGTACACCTTCAGCTTGACACAGCTTCGGACGCTACGTTGATCGCGCTTTCTGCCTAGGAGCTAATCGGTAGACCTGCATTAGCAATCGCTAACCATCATGCACGGAATGTATCTGGTAGTACTTTACGTTTGACTGGAGAACTAAGCTATGATGTTTTTCAACAATGTGCAGGTCTCGGGAGCACGTTACATTAGCGACTGTCCCAATATAAACGAGCTTGGATTTGAATGGATTGAAAGGCTTGGACTCATCGATGTCACGCTTTCACCTCTTTGCAAATGCACGCAGTTGACCTAAACTCCACAGGTGACTGTGCAAAGTACAGATAAGCACAAAGAGGATGGCACTAAATCGGAATTTATCGAGACCTTGCTGGGTTACGTGTCAACGTCAGATGGATACTCACCAGCAGAAGCTTTGATGAACCGAAAGCTAGACTTACCCCACGATGTTATTCGTAAGGTCTCACATCTGCCGGTTGGTCAAAACATCCGCAGGAAGAACCATTACAACCGTTATTACAGTGCTTTGAATCGCATGTTTCACGTCGGTCAATCTGTGTTCGCTAAAGGTTATCGTGATCGTGACGAATAGTGGACACAGGGGCTGGTTGCATGTCACACGGGCTAGGTTTCGTAGGAAGTGGATATATACTCCTCACTATGGGTCCGCCATGCCAAGCAGTTGCGTTCGTCCCCCTGACAACCAACAATGCCTCACGACCCCGCTGTTCTTACTGACATTCCGCCGGATAGTTTTGAGCTCTTACCGAGAGCCAAGCCTCCGGATGAGGTCACCAGGCCATTCCATACAGTCGATTACACATTTAAATGGACAGATCGAATCAGAGGACAGAGTGTGCCCATGCAGCTGGATCCACGATAGCGTTCATACGAACACCAATCCAAAGGCAGGTGTTAAGAGGGATGCTTCTAAACGAATTCATCCCCTTTATTGACACTTATGTTCATTAACTACAACCATATCTTTCAGAAAAAATAGAGAAAGGCCGTCGGGTCCAGGAGCTTTGTTTCGTTTCAGCACGGAAAGCTCGTGTCGAATCTCTTCCAAAGTGGATGTGACATCTAGTTCGCACTTCGGCCCAGGTGACTCGGCAAGCGGCAATGTCGCGGCAGGCCTGCTGAACTGCTCATCAAAATGTTCCGCTCAACGGGTTAATCGATGACGAAGAGAATGGATCAACTGCTCATCATTCTCAGCTATTTCACTAACTGATGGCTTTCTCAGACCCGTGTTCCGGCTCTTCCC